CTGTGTGACTGCATTTGAGATAGGGACTTAGGGAGAGAATTAACCAAAGGTTCTCACCAGGTCTGTGGGACTCCATGCCAGAAACACCTTCTCTACCATGGGGCTGCCTCTATGTGAAGTTCAGCTTACCTACTACAGCTTGTGCTGGCCCAATCATAATGGGGCTGCCTTGTCTCTGTGGTCTCTCTGTTTGTCCTTGTATAGAAGGTTTTATCAGCACAAGGGCTATTTCTCCTCTGTTCACCCCAACACATACGGCATCAGAGGTATCCGTAACACCTCACAATAAATACAAAAACCCATCTCAAGCATATTTTTTTCTGTATTAAATAACAGCCTAAAAGCTGAATGGCCAGAAGCAGGCCTCTTAGTATTGGCAGAAAAAACATCTAAAGATGAGATCTGTCTCTTCAATCTATGTCAAAATTGCTTAATAAGAACCCAGGGGACCCGGCACTAATGAAAGGATGCATCTGCTGTGGGCTGCACGGGCTAGGAGTGATAGATTGGATCTAGTCACCTTTGCTGATACTGAATCACAGCCCTCCTTATACAAGGTTACAATGCATATAAAGTTTGAAGATTCATTGCAAACAATGGTCAGAAAAAAAAAAAACAGCAAAGGAACTGGCAGTCAGGGAGCACTGACAAACAGTCCAGAATACGTCAAAGTGGAGTTTTCAGAATAAGAGACAAAATAGAAAACTTGAAAGATAAGCTCCATGCACAATTTTCAGGCATTCTGAAGACAGAGAAACTCAGAATATTTTAATGACCAATTATGTGTATGAGGGGGATGAATAATTTATTATCTGATAAAGAATCACCTGGGGCCTGTGACAAGAAAGGTCAAATGGGTAACTTAAGTAGAACAAGTAAATAGACTATTATTGTACTTGAAATGGAAGGACAGAAAGAAAAGGAAAGGAAGGAGCTCCCTTTAAGCAGCTTCCTCTGCTCGATCAAATGACAAGGCCCAAGAGTGGCTGGACCGCGTGCTGTGGGTCACACCTGTAACCCTAGCTATTCAGGAGATAGAGGTAGGAGAAACTAAGTCCAAAGCTGACCCAAGGAAAATTCCAAGAACTTACCTAAAAAACAAACTGGCAAGCAAAAATGAGTGGGGGTGTGGCTCAGATCGTAGAGCTCTCACATAGCAAGCTGAGTTCAAACCGCAGGGAAGGAAGGAAGGAAAGAAGAAAGGAAGGGAGGTAGGGAGGGAGGGAGGGAGAAAAGGAGGGAGGGAGAAAGGGAGGGAGGGAGGGAGGGAGGGAGGGAGGGGAGGAAGGCAAAGGCAAAGGGAAAGGGAAATGGAAAGGGAAAGGGGAAGGGAAGGGAAGGGAAGGAGGAAGTTCAGAGTATGCTCACTTTGCTGGAGAATCAATTACTGACACCTGTTATTTCCCGTTATTGAACATGGATTCACATTCACATGAACCTCTAAGAATACAGTGTTTGGCTAAGTTCTTGAAAAGGCCAGACCAATCTTGTGGTACAAAACATAGCAGGAATTTGGGTGACAAGATGGTTTTAGAGTCAGGATTTAATTCCTGGATTCATTCATCCTCCAGCCGTGAGGCTTTCAGTGAGTCTCTTCCCTTCATCTAGCCTCAAAGCTTCAGCTAAAGGATGGGTTCCACCCATCACACACACACACACACACACACACCCCACTGTGAATTACTTACTAAGCACAGTACCTAGTATGGAGACAAGTACACACACACACACACACACACACACACACACACACACACACACACACACACACACACACACACCACTGTGAATTACTTACTAAGCACAGTACCTAGTATGGAGACAAGTATGCACCACCACTCCCAACCTGCAGATGATGATGAATGACATCTGAAGAACTGTAGAACTTCCTCTTAACCTTCTTCTGTGAGTGTGTGCTTTATTGATCTAAGCAAGTGGTTTATACACTTCTTGCTGGTTCACAGTCTTATTTATATCATACTTTATTTATTGAAAATCCAATACCATGCAGAAGGACAATTTTTAAAGCAAAATAAATGAGAAACAAATCTACAGGCTGATTCAGGATGAACTCTTCCCAATAATCTATAAGTATTAATAATATTAATCGTTTTTATATTTTTATTTAGCTAGCAATCATTCAAAACAATGGGGATGAGTCCTGTAAGTTGCCAACATATTGAAGAACCATCCTGTTTTGTAAGCCAAGTTGCCGACATGGACAGGCACAAGACATGTATTTTATCCACCCCATTCACTCTATTCCTCTTTCTGTCTCTCTGTGTGTCTGTCTCTATCTCCCTCTCTGTCTCTCTCTCTCTCTGTCTTTCTCTCTGTGTCTCTGTCTCTCTCTCTCTCACACACACACATATGCATGCGCGCGTGCACACACACACACACACACACACACCAATCACATAAAAGGTATCATACCTAAGACCAGCCATCTGGAAATGCAAATTACAGGATTTAAGTATCTTGTATCCAGGAGGATTGGAGGAAATTCCCACAAGCAAAAAAGCTGTATCGACTCTTAAAGTCACTGGGTGGATTTGAGGAAGACTAAAAGTAGCCGGATTTCTACACAAGTTCTCATTTAAAAGTGTAAGCAATTCATCTCTCAGCATCCTCACCTACCCCAAACGCCACGTCCTGAAAACACAGGTGTTGGTGTCTAGTCGAAGCACAGCAACATGTCGAGCCCATATGGCTCACAGGGTACCAAGTGCTCCCCTATGTGAAAGTGATGGTCAAGCCATTATTTTCTGATGCTTATCAATAAACTGCCAGGCCTCAATCCTGTTGGAGCTTCCCACCTACCTTCACTCCAAAGATATAAACAGACTTGGTACCAACGCCACTGAAAACTACAGTAATAAAAACAGTAAAACATCAAAACAGGCACCTATGATCAAATGAGCCATGTGCTCTCCCTAAAACATGCATATTCTATTACCTCTCCCTAATAAATCTTTCATTTTTACCCCTCATCTCCTTGCTTTCTCAATAACCATCCTAATATAAACCTATGCTTGCTGTTCCTGATGACTAATCCCTTAATCATCTTTCCTAAATATATGCAAAGTGTAGTTCTTTGTCAATACAAAAGAATAAGCAATCACATAAATAATTAAGATGGCATTTCGAATGACAGTGGAGTGCTAATATGAGGTACCCTGGAAAATACTAATCCACAAACAAAATACACAACCATTAAAATGTAGGAGTCTAGACATCAGCAGACAGAAAAGAAATTCATGGCAACTCAACTTGATTTGAATCATGCTGATAAACACCCTCCCTACAGCTCCTCTTCAGTTACTGGGTGAGGTTAAGGAAAGCAAGCATTGCTTTGTAGTTCACATATGAATAAGAAATTATTGTCATTATTGTTATTAATAGCCGCAGCTGACATTTAATTGAGCACTTAATCTTTCCCCACAATGTGTTAATACTTTACGCACACACAGTCAATACAAATACAAACCACCTATATATCTCCTGACAGACATTACTACTTGCATTACATGGATGAAGAAATGGCAGTTTATAAAAGTTGAGAAACTTGCCCGAAGTCTGCTTCTATATTCTTCAATGCAATATAATACTTGCATTATAACAGCAGTAATCAGCTGGGAACAGCTTGTACCTCAGGAACCACCTGGCAATGCAGGGTAGAGGGTGGGAGTGGAGAAAGTCTATTTCATATACTTCAGTTTCAGACCAACTCCAGACCTCTGCTAGACCCAGTGTCTGGACTGAGGCCACTGTGCCAAGATGTCACTCAGGAGGATCCCTGCAGACCATGCACCCTGCCTCCTTGAAGCCAGGCTGGCCCCCTGTGACCCTCTCCAGGCCAGCAGTATGTCCTCCAGGCCAGTGTCTGGAAGACCTAAAGTCTAGGCCAAGGTCATAGACAAGTTAGGAAAGCCTTTCTGGAGACCAAATCCTGCCAAATTAAATACACTTAGGTCACCTCTCCTGGGTAATAGGCAGTAGGTTCAAGATATATTCTAGGGAGCAAGGGTGAGTTAAATCTTAGGTACAAGAGAGGGCATCAGCCTTCATGACACAACAACCCACTTCTGCCCAACCAATCAGCCTATCAGCTATATCAATGCCTAGAGGATGCCCCAATAATGTCTCTCAATGAAAAATACCTCCCACCACCACCTCTCCTTGCTTCTCCTGCCCCTGCCCTTCCCATACAGCTCCAGCCACATTAGTTACCCTGGTAGCCCTTTCTACCTCAGGGCCTTTGTATGTGCTGTGCCTGGGGCCAAGAAGCCCTTTCCTATGGCATTTATGTGGCTCACCTCTGCTTCATCCAGGTCTTAAGGCAAATATCACAACTTTACAGGGGTCTCTGCTGACCACCCCATCTGAAGCATCTCAGGCATCCATCCCTTAACTCTGCCTTATTGTCCTTTGTCATGCTTATAATAGCTGATGTTATAGTAAATATTACACTTGACTGTCCCTTTATGGTCTGTTTCCCCTACCTAGAAGGCAAGCCCATGAGGTCAGGATGGGCTCTGGTTGGTGGTATATCCTTAGTCTCAACAGTGTCACAAAGCTATCCATCAATGTTTATGCACAGACATGTCAACACCAGCAAAGCCAACGAACGACCAGACACAGGGTTAAACTCTACTCCTTTCTAATCTTAAAAACCACAGATACACGCAGAATAACTTCTGGCTGCATTCATGAGGGTTATCCCTGTTTTATTTTTCTTAATAAATGAGTTAAGTGAGTAAACATTCTGGAACCTCTGACTAACAGCGCAGATGACATTGACAGTGAACTATAAACAAATGCATGGGTAATAACAGGCTTGCTCATCCTTTCATTCATAAAGTAAACAACATGAAGATGACTTTAAAAATAAAGACATTATTCCAAGAGCAATAAACTTTATGCTCTGCACTAAAACCTCCATGTGTTGAGGGCGGCGTGCGCATTTGGCAATTAGAAAAACAGAATAGTAGAGTGCTTACCCACTCTCCCAGAATGCGTGACACTGCTTCGCTGGCTCTCGTCATGTTCCTGCAGGCCAGGATCACGTGTGCACCATGGAGGGCGAAAGACTTGGCGGTTTCAAAGCCTATGGTTTAAAGAAAAGTCAACACATCAGCCAGGTGCCAGTGGCTCACACCTGTAATCCTAGCTACTCAGGAGGCTAAGACTCAGAGGATCATGGTTGAGGACAGTCTGGGCAGAAAAGTCTGTTAAAGCTCCTTCCAACAAAAAGTGGGACTAGAAGCATGGCTTAAGTGGTAGAACACCAGGTAAGCAAATAAGCACAGTGAGTGCAAGGTCCTGAATTCAGACCCTGGTATTGTGGAAAGGAAAAAGGAAAGGAAAGGAGGAGAAAGACTACATTCAAAACGCTGATTCATGCTGAATGGCTTTTACTGAACACTGTTGTGCTACTTCCTGATTTTCAACCAGAAGAGGTTTTGAACCCTAGGCAGGCAGGTACAATGTCTGTAGACATGTTCCGTGACAATAATGGGTTGAAGTGCTACTGGCATTTAACATAAAGGTCGGAGATATGACAAAACATGTCACAGTGCATAGCCAGCCCCACCAGATGATCAGCTGACCTGTGCACGAACACTGTCAGCCTCGGACAATGTGCCCAGGGGACACAGGATGTAAAGATGAAGGCTGAGTCACATAAGACCTCATATAGCATGCCTCCCATTGTTTTGAATTACATTCTCAGTACATAGGTCAAGCTGGCCTTGAACTGAACTTCCCTGCCTTCCAGTCGCAACCCCCCCCTCCCCAATGCTGGGATTACAGGTGTGCATCCCCACACCCCAGCAGCAACTATATTTCCAATGGACCCCCAAGAGCATCAACACAACACAAACCCAGGCAAACCTTGGGCTTTATTTATCCAATTCTCTGGGTCACCAGTAAACAACTTGGACTTTGTATCTTCTTTATGTCTGGCTTACATGGAACAAGCACCCAGTCGGATTCACTAAATATCACTTAAAGGAACAAACACTTCATACTGACTGATAACAGTCACGATTCTGAATTATTTGAGAACATTCCAAGTGGTTCCAAACAGCATCTCTGACTTCCTATGAATAATAAGTGTGTATTAAAATTCTGCTATTTTGAATCACACTACCTACAAATCTGCCGGAAGAAAGCATACACCCTTTTTGCTCTCAAATTTTATTTCCCCAAATAAGCCTGTTAAAACCCAGCTATCTCACTTGATAAAATGTCCTAGGGGAAAAGGCTTTGTATGGCCTAAACCTGCACATCTGGCCCTATATCTGCAACAGGCTGCAGGCACAGGCTTGCACCTTCTCTCCCTAAGTAATTCCCGATGGTAGCTACAGAGAAGCCATCTGTCTCGGTGTCTTGTAAGGTTGTTCACTGGGTCCTCCATCTCCTGTATTGCACAGGGGCCGGTATGCTTGTCAAAGCTACGAGAGACAACTCCATTTTCTTAGCCTCTACAATTGCCTCTGCAGCAAAAAACAAAGTACAGATATTTCAAACGAGGACGGTTTAACAGGAAGGACAATAACACTTTTATAGTACGCAGTATCTCTAGAGTGTGGAGTTTTATAAAATAAAATAAAATACTAAGTTTAATAATGCTACCTACTGCTAAGCCCTGGCGAGAGCCTGTGAGAATAGCCTTCCTCACTCTGAGTGCTCGTGTGGCCAGCTCAATTAGCTAAATGCGGGAGTGCTAATCCACGCTGCACAATGCCAAAAGTTGGTGCAAAATAATGAAGGCAATGGATTACTAAGCTTAATAACCTGATTTGTATTATAAAAAATGAACTCCATGACAAGGTTTAAATTGAAGCAGCCTAACAGCATGGAGATGGCCAGAGTGGGTTCAGAAGAATATTTAAAGCTAATGATGCCAAGAAAATAAAGGGAGATATTTGAAAACAATGGGAATATTGTTACATGAGATCCACACAGGAAAGTTAAGCAGCTGTGGGGTTTAATATCTCACCATCCCAGGGTTTTTAAGCTTTGAGATATCAATATCAAATAGAACAAAATGGAAAACATACCCCTAACGTCACATGCCTACTGACCCTACACTAGTTTTCATGACTGGTGACTTCGAGATGAATGTAGTCCCTCTCCTCTCCTCCTTCCTTCCTCCTCTTCCAGGTCCCCCTTCTCTTCCTCCCTCTTTTGCTCTTTGCCTCCCACCCTCTAGTCTTTTCTCTTCCTTCCCTTCCTGAGTTAGTTGCCTGCACTAAATATTGAGGAGATCATGCAAACCAAACCCAGATGTCAAGCTTCTCTGAAAACAGAGAGGGAGTGCTACGGGACCCCAGCCCACTATGTGACAGCCAGGTAAGCCAGGGAGCAGCTGGCAGATGGAGGTGAGGTGGAGGCTCTCTGATTGGCCACGCCCAGCCGCCATCATGCTGCTGTCCTCATCTGCCAGACCACTGCAGGGACCTGATGCTCAGATTCCCATTGTCAGAGAGGGTGCCTGCTGGAGATGGAGGGCTCAAGCCTTGGCACAGAACGGCCTCAGACTGGATGCTCATATCCAAATCTTTGTGTGTTGTAGACAGGGGCCTTGAACTCATGATCCTCCTGCCTTTGCCTCCCAGGTGGTAGGATTACAGGTGTGCACCACCATGCCAAATCTTAAAGAATGTTTCCTACTGATCTTCCTGAGATGTCCTTCACACCATGTCAACTCCTACTCTGTCAAGCATGAGAAGATCACTGGACCTGGGGGAGACCTAGCAATGGCCCCCAGCTTTGTAGAAACAGGGAGGCTGATCAATCAGAGATCTGCCATGCAAATGCCACTGAATGGCAGCAGAAACTCTGGACCAAAAGCTACATGGGGATGGATGAGAGGCAGGAGGTGTAACCAGAAAGATACAGAATAAAGATTGGCCAGCAGCCCCTCGGGAATGTAGCTCAGGAAAGGGAAGGGAGTAAAAGCTCCACACACCAAGCTAAAACTCAGCGGCCCCTCTGCAGAGAGAGGAGCCTGTGAAAGACTCTAGGCAGAGAGAAACCCTATGAGTTACCATTTTATATATTCTTTTAATTTTTATTGTTATTATAAAAGTGATGTACAGAGGGGTTACAGTTACATACGTCAGGTAAAGAGTACATTTCTTTTTGGGCAATGCCATCCCTTCCCTTGCCCTCTCCCAGTCTTCCCTCCCATTCCCACCCATAAGTTATGTAAGTTAATTTTCAACATAGTGATCAGCTTATCTACTTAAGGCAGTGATCACCTTATCCATGTAAGGTACCTCCATGACCAGGTAGCATAGGGTCTGAAATACACTAAAGCGCCGGGGTCCACCAGAAGGGACACAGTGCCCTCTTAGGCTGAGAACTACAAGGCTAAACTCCACACAGGAAGCAAACTATCTGACAGTCGCTGGCTACTGGTGAGCTCATGTATTCATTCACCTGGACAAGGAGCACTGGGGGAGGAGGGCATCTGCATGTGGTGGTGAAGAGGACAGAGCAGACAGCCACCTGATCAGACTCACTGGTGGGGGGAAGAGTCTCACACAGACGCCTCGGGCCGGAAGACAAGGGTAGGAACCCAGCCCCAGCCAACATTGACAATGGACAGGAGAAGGGAGGGAACTGGGAGGTGAGCACAAGGCAGCTCTTGCTCCAGTGCCAGGATGGCTCCTCCAGTTGGAGATTTTTAATTTTCTCCATACTGTGGATGTACTTGGACCATGTCCCCACTTACTGTAAATTATGGTTTTAATTATCATTTTTATTAAGATGCCCAAAGGAGTTGGGACTTACAACACCCGTAATTTCTAATGGGTTGTTATTATTAATTTATAATTGTGAAACACTGGAGACAAATGCTACTTGTAAATGAACATCATTAAAAGGCCACAGAGGTGGTAATCCACCCCTCACCCAAGAATATACCACTAAAGCAATCTTATGGAACCAAGCAACAAGTCTCAAAAGCTCACAGCACACGGCCCCTGACTCTCTGGAGACCCAGCATCATGCACAAAGGCTCAATGAGCCTGCATCTTTCAGCTCAGGCTAGATCAGGGGACAATTAGGATTTGAGGAAAATTTTGTGTTAGTAAACCAGAAGATATAATTCAGTGTTTAGAATACTTTCCTGACACACAAAAGACCTTGGGTTCCATCTCCAGAACCATGAAATATAGACAATAAAATCAGAAGCACTGATGATATGAGTTTCTCTGACATCTTCCTAAATACAGAAGGCTCATACTCTCCCAAGTGATCTGATTAATGTAAATGAAATTACAGTGGCATGACATTGACCATGATATTGAAATCTAACTCTTCTGGGACATTTCAGATGACGGTCTAGGATGTGGAGTCGTCACAACTCTAAGGTCAACAGCACCACGCTGGCAGAGACCAGATAATCCACACTGCCATTTCAGAACTTACTTTAATTCCCTGAACGATGACATTTACCTTCCATATAATTTCAACTACACAGTTCTGAGATGTAAAGAGTTAGAAATCATTCTCACTAAACACAATCCACATATGCCAACTCTTAAGAAATTAGAAAATACACAAGTCTGGTAGAAAACAAGTCAAAATGTGGGCCATATAATACAGACAGGAAGGAAGGAAGGAAGGAAAGAAGCAAAGAAGGAAGCAAGCAAGGAAGGAAGGAATGGAGAAGGGGAAAGGAAAGGGGAAAGATGGAAGGGGAAAGAAAGGAAGAACTCAACATCTCTAAGATCAACTGAAGCATTACTTATCAAATTTTAGGTGTATGCATGCCTTGGTCCAGTTAATCCATGACCAGAACTTTATCCTAAAAAATGATCAGTCCATATGGACGTAAGTGTGAGGGGAAAAAAGCATTCAATATGTGCAGCATGTTTCTAACAGTCCAAAACTGTGATCAACCTAAACACCCATTATTTTGGTAAAATCAATGAAATGGCAAGCATAGAAAAAAATACTGGCTGCAGATAAAAACAAGTGAAATGATCAGGACACATAAGGAAAATATGACCGTTATATTAAGGAAAAACACAGTAGGAATGGGACACAGCTCAGTGGTAGAGAGCACTTGCCTATCATGTGTGAGGCCTGTAT